TTCCACCATGAAAACCAATGCATTTTTTTGTTCTCCTCATCATCTCCCCACCAATATTGAGAAATAACATCAGTGATATCCTTGCAAACTCCTTTTGGCAATTGGAAAACTGACATAGCAAAAACAGGAATAGACTGGGCCACTGCTTTTAATAAGATTTCTTTCCCTCCAGTTGATAGTTGTTTCTCCATCCATCCCTTTAACTATTTCTTTATCTTTTCACAAAAATGTTTAAAACAATCACTTCTATCAGCTCCCACCATAGCACGCAAACCAAGGTATTTATCTGAGATAGCTTGGTTGTTAATATTCAGATGTTGGCATATTTCATCTTTTGTTTGCTCATTTGTATTTCGGCTGAAGAAAATACTAGATTTCCCCAAACTTACCATCTGGCCGGAATTGTTACAGTTGTTGTAAGGAAGTTGCATTCAACATATTTGCTCTCATGAGAATTAGAGAATCGTCAGTGAATAAAAGGTGTGACACTGACGGTGCATTCCTGCACACTCTTATCCTATCGATGCCACCAACTTCTTCTTCATACTGCAGCAAGCTAGAAAGACCTTCCGCACAAATCAAGAACAGGTAAGGTGATAATGGGTCACCCTGCCTAAACCCCTTGAAGGTATAAACATTTCAGTTTCTTGGGAATTGAACCGGACTTTATATCTGACTGAGCTCACACAAGCCATAACAAGGTCAATCCACTATTATCAAAACCCAATTTGTGCATCATATTTCTCAAGAAAATTCACTCTCTATCATATGCTTTATGCATATCCAACTTAACAGCACACAAACCAGAAAGACTATTCTTGGTATTCTTAATTTTATGAATGCATTCATATGCTACCAAAATGTTGTCAGTAATCATTCTACCAGGGACGAAGGCACTTTGAGTAGGAGATATTATGTCTGGTGAAATGCTTTTCAAACGGACAGAGAGCATTTTGGAGATAATCTTGTACAAAACATTGCAAAGACTAATGGGACGGTACTAAGTTACCAATTCAGGAGAGTCTACCTTTGGAATCAAAATAGTGGATGTGTCATTCCATTCCGGAGGGATTTGCTTGGAATTTATAGCATGCAAGACAGCAACAGTAATTTCCTCCCCAAGAATATGCCAATATTTCTTAAAGAAAATTGCATGTAGCTGTTAGCGTCCAACTCGATCTAGCCCACATTCTACTTACGTTCTGGACGTTTATGCGCACATGGGCCAACATTCAGCGGAGAGCCCACTCCATCCCAAAAGCCCGGACTGAAGGAGGAGGGATACTCTCCCTTATAAGTTGGTCATGGCCTCCTCCCGTAAGCGAGGTGGGACTAAACCAAGCCAGCCTCCACTGATGGACAGCAGCCCTAACATCCCATCCCCCTGAGAAGCCCCTCAGGAAGGCATGGCGATGTTGGCTCTGATACCAGATGGTAG